TGCTCTCTTTGCCCTAGCCTTACCCCTGGGGCTATCAATGAGAGTCTATGAGATTTTTTTCCTACCCAAGTGAATGAGGTCAAGCAAAACAAACAAAAATCCAGACTAGGTACAGAATGACTATATTTGAAATGATTATTAAAATAGCGCTATGCTCTGAATGCTTGTGTCCCTCCCAACCCCACAAATCTGTATGTTGAAATCCTAACATATGAACGATGATGGGTCGAGCCTTTGAAAAGTGACTCGGTCAAGAAGGTGAAGGCCTCATGAGTGGGAATGGTACCTCTAAAGAGGCCCAAGAGTTTCCTTTGCTTCTTCTACCATGTGAGGACAGTGAGAAGGTGCCCACCAGACATGAAATCTGCCAGTACTTTGATCTTTGACTTCCCAGGCTTCAGAACCACGGGAAATAAATTTCTATTGGCTATAAGCTATTGGCTTATGGTATTTTGCTATATATAGCAGCCCCAATGGATGAATACAAACAGGGAGAGAGGAACTATTGCAATAGGGTCAGGGAGACTATTGCAATAAGGAGAATGCTTCAAAGGTAAGATCTGCAAGCATCTCAAAGATCAGATACAAACAGGTTTTTCTCTTTTTCTCTTACAGGGAGGAATAAACAGGCTAGAAAAAAACTAGTGTGGAGGAGAGGAGCAGGTGACATTAATGGGACAGTTGAACAGGAAATGTCCTTCCGGGTGGCTAGCCAATTTTCAGGAGGGGCGGTTAAGGGGGGACTATTCCACAGTCCAGTGCTGGCTCAGGCTGAGGGTGGATCAAAGTCCAGCGGTTTACCGGGAAGGGAGAAGCATAAAATTGGGTCAAGTTAAAGGGCATTTTGTTCAGATTAGTCTATGAGGAGAAATAGTTCAACTAATTATTCTGAGGCAAAGAATAGGATTTGGAGGGTCTGAGTCTGGCTTAATCATAGGTAAATGAAGGGGTTATTCACAGTTCTAGTGGTTCTTTGCAATAAGCCATTTCCTGAAATGTAACAAGAGGGAGAGATTTCTTAACTATCACTGTTTTCCAGGAGCACAGGGCTCAAGTAAAGGTTAATACTGTAGTCAGAGGCCAGGTACCACATAAGCAGGAGACAGGTTGGGGACCATTTTACATGTCATACTACTACCTCTCTACATTTAGCATGTCCTCAATGGGACTATTCTCACTGGCATTTGTGTTTAGGGGAATAATAATTATATCTATTCCAGCAACACATCTGAAGTATAAGCCATGATCACAATGCATCAAGTCAACCTGAAGGGTCTTAGCTACCAAGTAATATTCATCTCCCTACCTCACTGGTTACCTTGCCCAGCCGCCAAGTTGAATTCAGGTGCCCCTTCTCCTTACTGGACCAGTTATGATAGTAATTTAGGCACCCGTATTAAGAAACCATGAAGCTTTTCGTTCCTCCTTTCCCATAGGCTTCCAGAAAATTTCAGCAGGGGTATAGAGTCTGTGGTCCTTCAAGAATAGAGAGAATATGGCTTAAACCTAAGGATATTTCTACTTTAAACAACATAGATATGGGTAAAAGAAGAAAGAGGGACCTGGGAATGCAAGACACAAACATCGTTTTTGGTCCTCTCGAAGCTGGGTACCAGGCAGTAAGGTCATTGCTGATAAATCCATTTTGGCTTTGAGAACCCCCTAATCCAATAGTCGCATCACACAGTTTTCCAAGTGGGGCCAAGGGGTGTGTATGTCTTGGGTGACCTGGACTTAACTGGCACTACAATAACCTTGTTAGCAATAATGGCTTTAGAGTGATGTGGTTAGTGAATTTTTTTTTATTCTCCTTCTTTCATTCTTTCACTTCCCTAACTCTTCCCGTATTTTGTGTAAATGCTAATTCCTTGATCAAATTCCTTATTCCTGCAATGTTTGTAGGAGCATTATTTCTCATGGCTACATTGCATTAAGTCTACCTCATATTGACAAGTTTTGCTACCAGAAGTGGTAGCGGAGACACAGAATCTTAGGGATGGAAATCTGGAATTTGTTCTCTGATCTGACTGATCAAAAGGCAATAATGTTTCCATTGCCAAGGTAATTGACAGTCTATGGTAATAGTTACTTATCACTTGTAGTCACTTGGTTTGTTAACTAATGCCTAGACACAGGATTTACTTATATTAAATCAAAGTGAAATGCCAGAATATCCTTCCTTGGTATACAGGGAATGGTATCAAGGAATGGTATCAAGGGGTGAAATTACACATAACTTACTCACTCACATCCTATCTTCTCTGGAAGGACCCAGAGGACACTCTCTTCATTAAGGCTTAAAAAAAAAATCATTGGCAGGGTGTACTATTCTTGAAAAGCTCTAATGGCTATTATCACAGGTCAGGAGTGATAAAGGATACGCCCATTGAAATTGGCTTCTGGCCAGGGGCAGTGGCTCATGGCTGTAATCCCAGCACTTTGGGAGGCCGAGGTGGGTGGATCACCTGAGGTCAGGAGTTAGAGACCAGCCTGATAAATATGGAGAAACCTCGTCTCTACTAAAAATACAAAATTAGCCAGGCATGGTGGTGCATGCCTATAATCCCAGCTATTCGGGAGGCTGAGGCAGGAGAATTGCTTGAACCCGGGAAGCGGAGGTTGCGGGAAGCCAAGATTGTGCCATTGTACTCCAGCCTGGGCAACAAGAGTGAAACTCCATCTCAAAAAAAGAAATTGGCTCCTTAAATTCAATGGAGATGATGGGAGTTAGGATGTAGTTAAAGCACAAGCGGAAAGATTTAACATCCAGAAACAAAGAGTTTGGTTACCATATCCGGCAGCAGAGCAAAATGGTAATCAAAATGGTTTCACCCACAAAAATCTTTAGGGTTAACTGACAGTGGTGCCTAGAACTGAAATAGAGAAGCAGGATATTAAACTTTTATTAATTTACATATGAAAAAAGCAAACTGTAGGTCGTGAATAAATTTCTATCTTTAATTACAAGCCACAGCTTCTTATCCAGTTTTTAGATTTAAATCAGCTTAGATCATTGACATTTAATTATTGCTGTATTAATGAAATAAAATAAAATTTAGGTTTACTATTGTTTTATTCTGTTTCTTGTTCCTGGGTTACCTGAATCTTTTTTAGTATTCCACCTTAATGTACTGATGCTTTTGAAAATAATCTGTGTAGGTTTTTAGGGAAAAATCTGTGTTGCTCTAGGGATGATACAAATACTTAATTTCTTATAGTCTACTGTATAGTATCAATATCTTGAGGTCAGGAGTTTGACATTAGCCTGGGCAACAGAGTGAGATCCCATCTCTTAAAAAAAAAAAAAAAAAAGAAAGAAAAAAATTAGCTGGACGTGGCAGTACATGCCTGTAGTCCCAGTTACTGAAGAGGCTGAAGTGGGTAAATCACCTGAAACTAGGTTGAAGCTGCAGTGAGTCATGATCACAGCACTGCACTTCAGCTTGGGTGACAGAGAATTCAACTTAAAAAAACAAACCTGTATATGCTCTACAGAGAATCACATAAAACAATGTTAATTTTTTTCTTTCAATTAACAAATGTAATTTTTAAAACCTCAAGAGAAGTCTGTTGTATTTACCCTACACATTGTGCCTTCTTTATTCCCGCCATTCTAAGTTTCCTTCTGCTATAATTTCCCTTCTAGAAAGAAGGGAAATCTTTTTAGCAGCTTTTTTTTTAGAATTGTTTTTAGAAAAAAACTTCCCTTGACAATTCTTTTAGAGCAGGTTGACTAGTGATAAATCCTGTTAGTTCTCCTTCATTTGAAAAATATCTTGACCTTTTCTTTTTATTTGTACCTTTTTGACTCCTTTATAACACTTAGGTACTTTGAAAAAGTTTTCTGATCAAATCTTCTCTCCCCCCAAAACTATAATGAAGAGTACAGATTTATGCCAAATGTCTGTGATAGCAAAGTGTTTTTAATAAACATCAATGAAAATACACATAGTTAAAAGTTCAAAAAATTTCTATGACTAGCCAATAAATTGCTGCAACTTTTACAGCTAATGCTGGTGTTCCTGAAATTTGAAACATAGTACTTTTCAAGAACTGTGGACAAGTTTGATTACCACAAAAATAACAGGCAGAGTGTTCTATTGTTTTTTTTTTCTCCTGAAACTTAAACTCTGAATAGCAACAGATTGCAGCAAATGTAGCTCAGGATATTCTGAAAAATACAGCCCCAGGAGATGGCCAGTTAAAATGTGGACCACATTTCAATTCCACCTTTCCAGTGGAGATAATCAGTAGACTCAAAGAGATCCAAGGGTTGGATGAGTAACCATAGTGGAAAATGCTGACACAAAGTATTATTTGGCAATAATAAACTGAGGTGAAATGGTGCCAAGTAACTGATGTAGTGGAAGTTATGTTCTGGTCTGACTAGAATACAGCAATAAAAGTTGAGAGGTTAATAAGGGTAAAAGACAGAACCTTCAGATAAATGAAGAGAATGAGAAAGAATTGATTCAAAAAACATACTTCATTGTGATGACAAGCAAATTAAGGAGAAGGATGGAAAAAAAGCAAGGTGAAAAGAAATAGGAAAAATAGTTCAGGCTGTAGAAAAATTTTTTCACAACAGCAAGGAAATTCTCTTGACAGAGAAATTTCTTGGTAAAATAAACATGGAGATGAACTAGAACAGGTATGAGGTTCTGGAAGAAGAAACATTTGCATAAATGTGACTTTCTTATCCAGCCACACTAACTCTATTTCTTAAGAGCAATACAATTTCCAAAACTTTCTTGTTCAAAGCTCAGATTTACACAATGCCACTTCTAAGATGCAGGACACTAGCCTAAACTAAAATGCTCCTTACGTCTGTTCTTACTGTCTTCTCCTCGGGCTTTAGAGATGTTTTGATTTGCAAAAGTACTGGCCAATACAACAAAATAAAGACATAAATTAAGCCATAATAGAATTTTACATATGTTTCCTTATATTATGTTCATTAATGCATTACCTGCCGTAATAATTTCACTCAGTTAAAAAATGAGTATGATGGTTTAAAGCTGGTTCAGTCATGATTTTATAAGCTTATTTATCAAGAGTGAAAATAGAAGACTATTAAAAATAGCTAAAAAGGTAACGTGTCATAGTGTTTAATGTTTCTGTAATTGTTGATAAGGCTTGTATCTAAGTCTGATGCAGAATTATTAATGGCACTCAAATAGTTCTTTTCTCAGCCCCATAGTATCCACTGGTGCTATGAATCTGGAAGAGACTGGCTATGGCTACCACTTCTTGTCTTCAGTTGTGACTGTGCAATATCAGCAAGTGCGCTTTGTATCTTTTCCAGAAGCATGTCTCCTCGATAAACAACATCCTCCAGACATGTAGCAGCTTCATGGTTTTCTTCTTCTAGCTTATATAAGCTAGCAGCCTTTGTAAAACACAAATTTTAAAATCTTTAGAGTTTAGAAGGAGAGAAGCTGTCGCAGATGTACTTATTTTTAAATCTGGATGACTTTGCAATCATTGTGATATATTTTTCAGTAAAGAAATTCTAAAAATCAGATAACTTTTAAGAATTTTCCCCATGTGAATTATTAAAAAGAATGACTTTTCAATTAGAGATCTCTAGATATCTGTAAGTAACTCCCTTCCACACTATGTTTGGACACCATTATTCTACTCCACATCTAGAATGCCACCCTCCTCTCATTCTTCACTAGGAAAAGAGACAAAATTGAGGAAAATAAGAGGTTTTCTTATCAGGGAAAATTGAATATTATCACAAAAGGTACTATGATTTGAATGTGTCCCCTCCAAAATTCATACATTAAAATCTAATCCCCAATGTGATGGTACTAAGAGGGGGAGGGGCCTTTAAGAGGATATTACATCATGAAGGCAGAGCTCTCATAGATGGAATTAGTACCCTTAAAATATGGCTTGAGGTTGAAGAGGGAGCTCTTGCTCTTCTGCCCTTCTGTCTTCAGCCATGTGAGGAAACAGGAAGAAGGTCCTCAACATGGTCCTAAACATGGTACCATGTTTAATAAAAATTCATTACTCATGCACAATGAGTAATAAACGCCTTGATCTTGGACTTTCCAGACTCCAGAACTGTGAGAAAATTAATTTTTGTTCTTTATAAATTACTGTCTCAGGTATGTTGTTATAGCAGCACAAATGGACACAGACGAAAGGTATTAAATCTACCTCCTTTAATTCAAAATTCTCTATTACTGGTAAAATTCTCAAAGGAATAGAGGCTTACCTGTAAAGCAGCTGTAGATTCTTCACTGGGTAAGGAATCTATCAAAACATCAATGTCTTTTGCTGTTCGGGCAATCAGTGCTGC